CTCGCTGCACGCGGCGGCTCTGCCCCGGCGCAGTTTGCTGCACGTGATTGCTGGGAGCTCAGGGGCGAGGAAACCTCGGCTCCTCTCCTTGCCCGAGCACCACGGAGCCGCTGGTAGCAATGCTGGGGCCGGGGAAAGCTTGTTTCTCGCTTGACCCTTTGGGGAGTGACCCCCACCCAAACCAGCCAGGACTGCAGCTTTCTCCGGGCGCGCTCCCCTCGCCGGGCCTTGTCCCTGGAAGTAGCTGGGTGCGTCTTTAACGCGACACCCATGAACGAAGCGCCGGGGTGGCAAAGGGCCAAAGACGGCCTCGGGCACGCTTTGTCACTTGTGTTTGTGGAGAGAGGGTCTGAGTTCAGTACAAGCGTGTCACAAGGCAACCAGTCGTTTTTCTTTTCTGCCTTGCAGACTACACTTTGGAGGTGATAACTCAGCCACGGTCTGTCTTTCTGCTGCTTGTAGTGTAGTTTCTGCCAAGCGGCTCCTTGGCACGGGCACGCCGACTCTGCCAGGTGTAGTAGAGCTGATCCAGGTACGCAACGGGCCGCACCATGCCCAGGATTTCACCAGCACTTTACTCCTGGCCCTTCCGAAATCAGTGCCCAAGTGTGATTGCAGCGGTGCGGGGCAGGGGGCAGCTGGAGGAGGCGATCCTTTTACATCTGTGTAGTGTTTCTGGTACAGACAATGGGGCTGCTTAAATACTTAAATGGGGCCTTAAGCTGCCACTTTGCAACTTTCTAACAGCAGGAAAATAGGCCTTCCAAAAGTGATTTCGCTCTCACCGTATCAGATCCATTTGATCTTAATGTCTGTGATTGGTTGCCTGAGTGGAGAGCTTGGAAACCCTTTGTGAGCAGTGAAACTGCTGCAGCCCACGGTGCTTTCTGCTTTATTACCGTCACTTTCCATTGCAAAGGAGAGCATAGGAAGTTTTATCATGCCTTTCACCCTGACAATCTCCCAAATGGATGGATAAAGCAGTGAATTAAGCAGGCAAGTACCAGCAACAATGAGGAGCTAAAGGAGGCCTTGATTGAGGATTACAAGATTGGGATTTTTTTTTTAATACAACTTGAACTCAGGGTGGCTGCACCTCCACTCAGTGGGGGTGTTGACAACAGCACTGCAAACATCTGGAACTCTTGGTTCAGAGATGATGCCTTCCATTCGACCAGCTGAGAAATTGCAAAAAAACGTGTATTTTTATATTTGACAACAGCAGTAAGTGGACATGTTTGCAGGATGCGGATCCTAAATATGTAAAGCACCTTCACCTTAAAAGAACCGAGGAATAGGGTCCAGTTAGGGGTGTCAGTAATAAACAATTGGAGCCATTTCCCGGGGGCTCTGATGCTTTCTGAATAGCAGCAGTTTGAAAATCAAGAGGGGAGGCTCTTGTAGGATGCAAACAAGAATTAATTCAGGGCGTTGGTTGTTGGTCTAAGGACATGGGCAGGCCAGGCTCTTTGGGTAGATGTGATCTTTTTTATTGGATCAACTGAGTAGTGTGTGATGTCTTTTATTAGACCAACCGAGACCAACTTTGCAAGCTTTGGTGCGCAAAGATGAAACAGGAAAGCTTGCAAAGAACTTTTTTCCAACTATTTAGTTGGTCAAATAAATGAGGTCACATCTGATCTGCCCAAAGGACTTTGACAGAATTTATTCAGGGTGTTCTGCTGGGCTTTGTTGCACGGGAGGTCAGACTCGTGGTTCTTTCAGGCCAAAGAATATATGAATAAACCATAAAAAAATAAGTCTCTCTCTTATGCTAAATTTTAACAGCTATGAGTTAAATGCTTGCAGCAGATTACTGCCTCCCAACCCCACCCAGACCCAGATGGCTTCCACCACGATGACGGAGAGGCAACTTTCTAGAGGTTCTTGGCTTACGAGGCAAGCTTTGTAATGTAGGTCTGGACTAGCGGTGCGGCCTTTCCGTGGGGATTACTCGCAAGAGAGTTAATCGCAGAACTCTGTAAGCGAGTGCGTGTGCATATGACGGGGAGAGAGGCATGGGAAGCCTGTGCCGTATCGTTCGGTTATTTCTCACGCAGCAAATGGGTTCCTTGTGAAGCTGGGAGTGATCCGGCCAAGGAGAAGAGGTTTAATCAAAGTACAATGCTCGTAACATCCTGTCTGAACAATCAACAGGAAACTCGGCCAGCACACCTCATGGGAGGCTGGCACGTTTGAAGTGGGAGCTATTCCCCGTGTCTAAGGTGCAGCTCCAGTGTTTCAGACAGCACCAGTCCGTTTGGATTTATTTGGGACCTGGGTCAGGTTTTGATCGCTGGGGAAGACAAAGCTGACCTGGAGAGAGCTGTAGGCCAGTGGGACTGGCGAGTGGACAGGAGCATCTTGCACATGAGAAGCTGGCAGCACTGGGATGATGCATGAGTCATTCTGTTTTAAGTGTCTTGCACCCATTGATGTAAGACCCCTTGTTGGGGTCCCAATTCTTGCATCTCCAAAACTCCCTTTTACTTGGGCAGGTAAGTGGAGATCTGCAGTTTCAGATGCAAAGAAAGGCTCCATAGGCAGTCCTGGTGTGGGGATATCTGCCCGGCTTAGAGCCATTCTCATGCTAAATTTGTCACTGATTGACTCCTCAAGGTGGTAGACAGCAGGAGCATTTTTGTGTTGCAGATAAGCCTCTTGCAACCTCAGCCACAAGTACTGGACTGGAAGCAGCAGCAAGAAAGTGGGGAGCACAGGAAAGCAGGGAAACAAAGCGTAAAGCAGCAGACCCCAAAATAAGTTACCGGGTCAGCTTCTGCTGAACTGAAAATACATTTCTCAAATTCACTTCAGCCTCTTTTTCCCCCCTTAAGTTTGCCCGTTTGCTCAGCAGCTGGTGGCCGTTCCCTTGTGAACACACCATCTCCCTTTGTGTTCATATACAAGCCCCGTAAACCAGCGTAGTGCACTTTGATACCATTTTCTCTTGGAGGATCACAAAGCACTTTATGGATGATTGAAGCCTCACAACACTCCCTGCAAGGCAAAGTGAGGTTATTATCCCCATTTTCTGGACAGAAAACTGAGGCGCAGAGAGTTTGAGTTGCTCAAAATCAGATGGAGAGTCTGTGCATAAGCAAGGAATAAAACCTAGCCCTCCTGCCACCTGTGACCTCCTGGACCTGTGGCTGAGACCAGTGGGGTTCAACCCTTTTCCATTTGAGGACCCCTAAACATTTTGAATGGAGGTGTGGACCTCTTTGCATGGGAAGTGTGGGCATTCGCCTACTTAAGACTGATTGTAGCCATCTTTCGGGACCTCTTTGAGAACCACTGGCTGATACTGTCTAGTCTGTTTAGTATGCTGGAGGCTTCAGGATGCCTTCAGGGCGACTAGGGTAACCCTTAAGCCCCACAGACTGAGGATTTTTCAAGCCCTTTCCTATTTTCCCCCCCATGGCTAGTTGCCTTTAAAGAGCCAGCAACATCTGAAAGACAACTTGGCAGCAAAACTTTTCTGGAAGCGTTCTCCCCCCGGGTTTGTATGGAAAGGTCGTTGTTAGGATTTCAGCTCCTCCTGCCGATGCTGCCGCCCTGTGTAACATCCCCATGTCCTTCCCACGCGCGGGTGACTGGGGTTGCAAGAGCAAGTGCGGTGGATTTTGCACCCAGCGGTGCACGATTTGGCAGCATTGAGAGCGGCGGCTGGGCTCTGCTCTCACCTCTGCCCCGGAGCGGCCCTGGGACTTGTTGCAAACCCCTTCAATCTGCACGTCTGTACAGCAGGGATGATGCCCGGAGTTGCGAGGATTCATTCATGTTTGTAAGGTGCTGTGGGTAAAAGAGGTTGGAGAGAGGCTACGAGCTCAGAACAGTGGATTTGGAAGTCCTGGTTGCTTTGGATTAGGCCTGCGGTTGCAGAAAGCAAATGCCTTGCTCGAGGAAAAGGTGGTTTCATAGCCGTGTCCCTCGGAGCTGCCCTGAGGATTTCCCTTTCCTTGCTCAGGTGCTCCAGTCTTTCGGGAAGTTTTGGTCACACGGCTGTCATTTATTTTTACCCTTCCCTTTCTCTTTTTTTATTGAAAGGATCTTGCGGCCCAGCCTAGCCCACAGGCCTCGTGTAGGAGGGACAACGCTTCCTATCATGAACAGAAGTTTCCAGCAGACGTGAAATGCCGAGCGCTTTACGAGCGGAGGCAAGTGGCTGACTTTCACAGGCGGTGCACGGAGGATTGTAATGCTGGCTGACCACAGCTAGACTTGATTGAAGCAGGCGTGGACGGTGATGGCCCTGTTCCCCCGCGTAACACAGTGCACGGCGGCTGTCTCGGTTTCTGTTTGGTTTGCACAGGCAGGAGAGAGAGGGAGAGATTGCAGGGAGCGCATGGTCACTGACCCAGGGAGGTTGCTCCCACCGCCAGGGAAGAAAGTTGTGTCATCTCTCAGCTCCGCTTAAGGACTGGGCCAGGGTGGGGCTAGATAAACAGGAGGGTTGGGGGACAGGGTCCACCCTCTGATAAAGCAGGACAGAGCAAACTCCTGGGTGTGTTTAAACACTGGGGGGCAAATTCAACCGCAGCGAGCGTGCATGCTCCCTAGGAAAAGTGCCTGCTTTTCTGGGGGCAAGGGCTGTGGTGCAAAGGGTGTGCAAGCATGGGGATGGGGGAGGGAAATCCCAGCCTCTCTGAAAAGCAGTAGGACATTTGCCAGCAGCTTCAGCAAAGCCTGGATTTGACAGTGCCGGAGCAAAGCCCTCTGCTCCGAACACGATGCTGCTGCGACGGTTCTTCCGTGTACCCGCCCGGAGGCAGAAGTAGCACGAGGTCCTCACTGGGGCTTGGAAATCTGGGATGGGAGGGTGAAAGGAGGGAGGCGGCGGGAGATGTTTAGTCTCGTACTTCATTTTCTTTTCTGTTCTGAGGAGTCCCAGTCAGGGACCAGGACCCACGGCGCTAAGCACCGACAAACCCAGAGCAAAGAGAGCCCCGGCCTGATGTAGAACAAGAGGCCGCAGGTGGGTGGAGACAGAGCAGGGCAGGAGAGGGCAGTCCCGGTCTCGGTGCCCAGCTAGGCTTGGCGTGGCAAGGGAGGGCTTTGAGCCGAGGCGTGAGGGCGAGGCAAGGCCTGAGTGGGAGCGCAGCGACACGAGCCATGTCGCGGGTAAGGACATGGGGAGATGCGAGAGCAGGCGGGGTCGGGGAGGCACGGGACAGGGCTGAGATGACTACTGGAAAGCCGCGACAGTGAAAGCTGAGGATGGTGCATTGCTTTCAGTATGACTGAATGCCACCGCTTCGGCGTAACCTTGTCAGGATCGGGTGGAGGGGGCCCCCTTCGGCCGGTCGGTTAAGGGTGGTGGAGGAAGGCCAGCAGGTGAGCCAGCGGGTGCTGGGGCCTTGTGCAAGAAGTGCTCTTGCTTTGCAGCCTTCTCTGCCTCTCTCGGGCGTGGAGGGGTCCTGATCCTGCTTCCAGGATCCCGGGGGCAAGGGCTGCAATCCTGTGTCCCGGTCCTGGTCCTGCAACTTGGCCCAGCAGAGCAGAGCCCAGGCGTCCTGTGGAGGGGGGTGCGTGTGCGTGTTTGGGGGGGGACGGGACTCAAACACAGAGCCGGGGGCTCCATCCGCCAGGAACAGTCTGTGGGATCAGGCCCTGGTTTCTCAGCAGATGACCGGATCCAGGAGAGGGGAAGGCCCTGCAGAGGCCTCAAGTACAAACCCTGCTCCAAAGGTGCGTCTGTTTTCCCCGGGACCCCTGTACACAGCACCACGGCCTCTTGCCCCGCAGGGACCCTGTGGGTGGAGGTGGGGACGGGGATCAGCGTTTAACATGACAATCCGGTCAACGCAGCTTTGTGTCCTGCCCTTCCTCTCGTACAGAGAGCGCTCCAGAAATGCTCCCGAGTTAAATAATAACCAAGGGGGAGAGGAAGCGAGAGCAGCAGGGGAAAGGGTGTTTTCGGAGGAGATGGGAGATGGATGGCAGGTCGGCGGGGTAGAGATGCAGGAGGTGGAGCGGAGTCTGCGGCTCCACGTGACAGAGGAATGTGGCTTGGCCATAACCGCTCCTGCTCTGAATCCTGGCCTAGGATGTCTCAAGGGCCGGGCCTGCAGAAGCACTTTCTTTCCCCAGATCTGGGAAAAAACCAAGCCGAAAGAAACCCCACTGGCAGGGTTTTGTGGAGGGGCGGACTGGCGAGGGGCTGCTCGGGCTGTGTGTTTAGAGAGCAACCCCGCTGCCGCGGGGCCTGGCCGCCTTCCCCTGCCGCCTGCATTGTGCTGCACGGGGCTTGCAACCAAGCCTTTTGCTGAAGTGGAAAGATGGCCGCGGGGCTGGGGCAGGGGAGGAAGGGGCTGCGTGGTCCCTCTGCTCAAGGCCTCTGCCTCCTGGGCCTGGCACGCCGTGCGTTGCACGGGGATGACAGTCGTGCTGGCGAATGTGGCGCAGGAAACGAGGGCAGCGTCCCTCAGGGGATCAAACCCCACGTCTGGGGCAGAAGCCGGGTGGGACGCAGGCTGCACAAAAAAATCCTGCCCTGTTTTGCCGTGTTGGCAGTGCCCCGCTGCGACCCGCCGGGCTGGGGGTGCCCGTGAATGGGAACTCGGGGCTCGGGCTCGTTCTCCTCCTGCCCGGCGAGGAGGGCCGGTAGGACAGACAAGCTGCCCAGGCGTGCGGGCAGGGGACGGCGCGGGCCAGGAGCGGGGGAGCGGGGGCGCGCGGGGCGCGG